TTGATGCAGAAAAGGCATTTGATAAAACCCAACACCCATTTCTGACAAAAACTCTCAGCAAAATAGGAATAAAAGGGACATTCCTCAACATTAATAAAGGGCATCTATGCAAAACCAACAGCCAACATTTTTCTCAATGGAGAGAGACTGAAACCATCTCCCTTGCGAACAGGAACCAGACAAGGATACCCTCTATCACCACTTCTATTCAACATTGTATTGGAAGGGCAATAAGGCAAGAAAGGGAAATCAAAAGCATCCAAATTGGTAAGGAAGAAGTCATATTATCAGTATTTGCTGACGATATGATCCTATACCTAAAAACACCAAGAGACTCAGTCAAAAATCTATTAATTGAGAGATTTAGCAGAGTGGCAGGATACAAGATCAACATCCAAAAATCAGTTGAATTCCTTTTACGCCAGCAAAGAGATTGCTGAAAAGGAAATAAGGAAATCAATACCATTTACAATAGCTATCCAAAAAATAAATTACTTGGGAAAAATCTTACCAGGGACACAAAAGACCTGTACAAAGAAAACTACAAAATACTACTTCAAGAAACCATAAGAGAGCTACATAAATAGGAAGAACATACCATGCTTGTGGATAGGAAGATTGAACATTGTGAAAATGTCAGTTCTACCCAAAGCAATCTATACATTCAATGCAATAGCAATCCAGATCCCATCAGCATTCTTTAAGGATATGGAAAAACCAATCACTAACTTTATACGGAAAGGAAAGAGACCTTGGATAAGCAAAGCACTATTGATGAAGAACAAAGTAGGAGGTCTCACACTCCCGGATTTTAACACTTACTGTATAGCCACAGTACTCAAAACTGCTGGTATTGGTACAATAACAGACACATAGACCAATGGAATAGAATTGAGAACCCAGAAATAGATCCACCAACCTATGATCAGCTGATCTTTGACAAAGGGCCAAAATCTCTTAAATGGGGAAGAGAGGGTCTTGTTTAACAAATGGTGCTGGCAAAACAGGATATCTATTTACAGTAAAATGAAACAAGATCTATATCTCACACTATACACAAAAACTAACTCCAGATGGATCAAAGACTTAAGTGTGAAACCTAAAACTATAAAGTTCCTCAAGGAAAAACTAGGGGCAAATTTAGGGGCCCTAATATATGGGATAAATAGACTATCAAGCATAATCCAAAATGCACAAACAACAAAAGATAAATAGATGAATGGGACCATCTAAATACTAAATTTTTATGTGCTTTCGAAGACTTCTCCAAAAGAGTAAAAGGAGAACCTACAGATTGGGAAAAAATATTTGGCAATGACCCATCTGACAAGGGACTTATCTCTAGAATTTATAGAAAACTCCAACACCACAACAGCAAAAAGACAAATAGTCCAATTAAAAAATTTAAAAAATGGGCAGAAGACATGAATAGACACTTCACCAAAGAGGATATTCAGGCAGCCAACAAACAAATGAAGCAATGCTCACGATCATTAGCATTAGAGAGATGCAAATTAAAACTACAGTGAGACACCGTCTTGCCCCAGCACTAGTAGCAAAGTTCAACAAGATAGAAAATAACAAATGCTGCCTAGGATGTGGAGAGATTGGGACTCTCATGCACTGCTGGTAGGACTGTAAAATGGTACAACCACTGTGGAAAGCAGTATGGCAATTCCTTAAAAAGTTGGAATTAGAAATACCATGTGATCCAGCCATTCCATTACTAGGTATATATCCTAAAGAAGTGAGAACCAGGATAAGATCAGATGTATGCACACCCATGTTCAACGCAGCACTATTCACAATAGCCAAAAGATGGAAACAACCTATGTGCCCATCAACAGAAGAATGGATAACCAAACTATGGTACATACACACAATGGAATACTATGCAACCCTAAAGAATAATATAGAATTGGCAAAACACTGCATAACATGGATGAACTTGGAGGACATTATGTTGAGTGAAATAAGTCAGTTACAAAAGGACAAATATTGTTTTAGTCTGTTATTGTAAAAAGTCAAGGAAAGGTTTATACATGGAAGGAAAATTTCTTTGTTGGTTATCAGGGTGGGAGGAAGAGGAGGGATAGATAGGTAGAGAAACAAAACAAAACAAAACAAAACAACAAAAAAACTCCCCCCAAAACACATATACCTTTATATATTTTTAAAATCAACCTGTTAAACATTGCCTTTACCTGATGAGTTAATCATTGTCTACTTCCCCCAGTAAACTGTGAGCTCCTTATTCATGTTTGTAACCTAGTTTGAGGACCCTAACAGGCATTCCTTTGTTATCAAGTAAATAAATTAATGAGTGAATGAATGAACATCAAATCACTTCAACTTTACTTGTCCTCCAAAGTCTATGTCAAGTATTCTTTCTGTTGATTCATCTAAACATTATTGCTCCTCCTTCAAACTCCCACAGCCCCAGAGACTAATGTCATCAGTTACTATGCACCACTTTCTTCTATCCATTCATCTTCACAAGGCTGGTTGAACCTCAGTAGACATGGGATCTCACGTTTCCCTCCTCCCCATCTACTGCCTCCAACACCACTCCTGTTCATGAGTGTGCCTTGATAAGCTCAAGAGTTTTGTTTTGAGTGAAATATGGCATTGTTGCATGAAGAAATGATGAGAGGCAAGGAACCACAGAAATAAAGCATATGATGGGTGTTCTGGTTGCCTACTGCCACTCTGACAGGAATATACCACAAATGGGATGGCTGAACAAACAGGAGTTTATTCTCTTACAGTTTGGAGGCACTCATTCTGAGTTCAAAGTGGCAGGCTGTAAGGGCTGTGTGAAAGCCCATGGACCTTGGGCTTCAGCTCTGCCTCTTGCTCCGGCCCACTGAAGCTAGGGGCATCTCTCTACTCAGACAGATACTGGCTGCTGAGGCTAACAAGCCCAAGGTCGGCAAATAAAATGGCACAGTCCCGATGTTACCAAACCACATAGCAGGCCATTAATTCAAGTCCATTTTAAGTCCCAAGATCGGCAGAGCATGGCAGGCTGCTGAACAACGACACAGCTAGATGCAGGGTTCAAGCGTGCCATAAGCTAGAGACCCAAGGCTTCTCCTTATATATGGGAAGCGGACCACATCTCTAAGACAGTTACTCAGTTGCTCATAGTAGATTTCACCATGGAATCGATTACCAGTCTCATCATGGCGAATACTACATCCAGCTGCCCAGCCACTCAACCAGGCCCAGTTTCCTTTGGAGAGAAAAAATGTAGGATAAAGGCAAGAAAGGCAACAATGATTTGGGGCCTGAGAGATAAAATCAACCCAGAACAAAAAGGAGGAATCTTCTTGCTATTTCTGTCTGGAACACAAGTGTGTCAGCAATGAAGAAGTGGGAGCTCTGTCCAGCAGAGCATCAGGAAAGGGGCACTCTCACCTTGGCACCATCTCCAAATAGCTTTCAGGCAGCAAGCTTCTTAGAGAAGGTCAGAGCTCAGGAACATCAGTGGCTATGTGGTTGAGAACATAAGTGACTCCCTTCCTTCATAGTCCATGACCATGTATATTCTGATAGGGATGAGATGGTGGCACTGTGCTCCTGTGGACAGGTGAGTTGAAGGATTTGATTCTGTAAAACTCTGGCATTACTTTAAGTGTGACCTTATTTATGGCCAAGACAGATGAGTTTTGGGGGACATTGTGTTACACATACATATCTTTTCTTTGCTACAGATCTATAAGCTCATTCTGAGCTGAATCTATGTGTTCCGGTGTACTAAGGAGCCTGTAGGAGCTCTGGTAGTATAGTGCCTAAGGCACTTGACTGCAAACCAGAAGCCTGGTGGTTCAAACCCACCAGCAACTCCTCGGAAGGAAGATGGGGCAATCTACTTCTGTAGTGATACTGCCTTGGAAACCCAAGGAGGGATTGCTATGAGTCGGGTCCGACTCGATGGCACATAACAACAACAATGTCTTGCATATGGTAGAGGGTTCCCAGTTTCTCTTTAAATTCCATCTTTAAAAAATTACCCTTTTGTGAATCTCTGAAAGGCTTTCCCTTGGAAGAGTTTTCTGAGAGCTCCATGCATGTCCTTGTTCCTCAAGCTATAGATGAAAGGGTTCATCATGGGTGTTACCACAGCATACATCACTGTGGCAACTGAATCCTTCATGGAGTACGTGTGGAGGGGCTGCAGGTATACCATACCAAGAGTCCCATAGAAGAGGGAGACCACAGCCAGATGGGAAGCACAGGTAGAGAAGGCTTTGTACTTGCCAGTAACTGAGATTATTTGGAGGATGGCTCTGACAATCCGTGCATAGGACACAATCATAAACCCACAGGGGGTGAGGAAGATGAAGCAGCCAGTGGCAATCAGCACTGTGTGATTGACCTGGGTGTTGGAACATGCGAGCCTCAGCAGGACATACATCTCACAGAAGATGTAGTGGATCTTCTGGGATCCACAGAAGGTCACCTTGGTCATTAGGAGGGTGAGAATGAGGCCATAGAGGACAGAAAGGACCCAACAAAAGGTCAGGAGCAACACACAGAGGCCAGGGCTCATGACTGTGGTGTAGTGGAGGGGGCGGCAGATGGCCATATAGCGATCATAGGCCATTGTGGCCAGAATGAGGTTGTCCAGTGTCACCAAGGAGATCAGGAAGTACAGCTGTGTCAGGCACCCTGCATAGGAGATGGCTTTGTTCTGGGACTGAAGGTTCACCAGCATCTTGGGGATTGTGTTGGTGACAAAGAAGAGGTCGGTGAAGGAGAGGTTGACCAGGAAGATGTACATGGGAGTGTGCAGATGGGGGTCAGAGCTGATAGCCAGGATGATGAGCACATTTCCCACTACTGTGACCAGGTACATGGACAGGAACATCCAAAACAAGATTTGTTGGTGCTCAGGATTCTCTGAGAGTCCAACAAGCAGGAACTCAGAGCCTCTAGTCTGGTTGTCTCCATCCATTTCTCCAAAGGTCTGTAACATTAGCACCAACAACTGTTTAGGAAGTTCTCTCAATTGACTAAGGACATGCAGTTAAGCAAAATCAAGTTTTCTTAGTGTTAAAAGTATCTTAAATTAGACTTTATCATTTTTCAAATAAGCAACAAAGGAATAACATTCCCAAAAGCATAACATGGGAATCCTTTATGCAATTTAATCATTCTAGCAACTTCGAATCTTGCTTATGCACTATTATAGAATTAAAATCTGTATCTTATTTTAAATCCTATCATCTTATTAAACCTGTAGAAGTGTTTAAAGATTACAGATTGTCCTTACATATTTACAGTACTGTGTAAGTTTTGAAATGATATTTAAAGTAAGTATATGCATTCTAGGAAATGGATATTGTACAGTTGGACAAACAGGGGAATAAATATACTCGCAAAGAAAAGGAACGGTTATCATTATTTGCTGATATAGTGATCTATCTGGAAAACCTAAGGCAATCAAATGAAACACTTGTTGTTGTTGTTGTTGTTATGTGCCATCGAGTCAGCCCTGACTCATAGCGACCCCTCCTTGGGTTTCCGAGGCAGTATCACTACGGAAGTAGGATTGCCCAACCTTCCTTCCGAGGAGCGGCTGGTGGGTTTGAACCGCCAGCCTTCTGGTTAGCAGTCAAGTGCCTTAGCCGCTATGCTACCAGAGCTCCCTAACACTATTAGAAATAAAAAGAGAAATCAGTGGCCAATAACTAATAAATAAACCCCAAACTAAAAGCATTCCCAGTAAATCATATAAGGCAATGATCAAGCCTGTGCTGTCAGAGTGATTGAATCTAAGTCTGAGCTCTGCCACCTACTCTCTGCAAATCCTCAGACAGTTTACCTGAGCTCTTTGAGACTCAGTTTCTTCATGTACAAAATGGGTTGGGGTGAGAATAAAATCAAGTAATAAAATGCTTAACGTAAGGTGCTGGTGTGCAGTGAGAACTCAATAAATATTGTCCATTATGATATATAAATAACAATCAGGAAAATAGGGCTAAAATATAATGGAAAGCAATCCCATCTGTATTAGCAACAAAATACTCTATGCATTAAAATATTAAAAAAGGGAGACACTAATCTTCAATTCATAAGGAAAGGAAAGAAGACCTGAATCACCAAAGCAATCTTAAGAAGAAGAACAAAGTAGGAGGCCTCACATTTCCCAATTTCAAAACAGCTACAGTAATCAAAATAGCCTGGTACTGGTTTAATGATAGACACATAAACCAATGGAATAAAATTGAGAGCCTAGAAATAAGTCCATATATCTATGGTCAACTGATTTTTGGTATTAAGCCCATTCAATGGAGAAGGAGTAATGTCTTCAACAAATGGTGTCAGGAAAATTGCATTTCTACATGCAGAAAAGTGAAGCAGGACCCATACCTCACACCATACACAAAAACGAATTCAAAATGATTCAAGGGCCTAAATACTACATGTAAAAGCACAAAGTTCTTGGAAGAAAATGTAGGGGTGAAAGTCTGGGACTTAGTTTTTTTTTTTAAATAATAGATTATGAAATATATCATCAAGTGCATCATGAGCAGAAGACAAAATTGGTAATTGGGACCTCATGAAAATGAAATACTTATGGTCATTCAAAGACTTTCTCAAACAAGTAAAAAGATAACCTAAAAGGTGAGAAAAAAAAAACCTTTAGGAACTCTATGGCCAATAAGGGCCTAATATCCAAAAAATAGATAAATATTCTATAATGTAATAACAAAAAGACAATGCAAAAATTAAAAGATGGGCAAAGGACATGAACAGACACTTCATTAAAGAGGGTATTCAGGAACAAACTCATGAAAAGGTGCTCATCGTCTTTAGCCATTAAACCTAAACCAAACCCACTGTTACTGAGTTGATTTAGACTCATAGTGATCCCCATAGATTTTCCAAGGCTGTAAATCTTGGGGAAGGCAGACTGCCTCATCTTTCTCCACTCAGTGGCCGGTAGGTTCAAACTGCTAATCTTTTGGTTAGCAACGGAATGCTTTAACCACTGCACCACCAGAGCTCCTTTTTGGTGGTATATTGGCAGATTTTTTAGTCAGAACCTATGGTCCAAACCCCACCTTAACACATACAACTGTTTTTGAGAAAACCACTATCCTTTACTGAGCACTTGGTCAGACAATGTGTTAAGTGCTCTGTGTTTAGTTATATTATCACATTTTATTGATGAGGCATCTGAGACCTAAAAGGTTAATGAGGTTACCAAAATAGCTCAATGAGTAAATGATGAAGCCAAGAGTCAAACCCCCATTTTTGCCTCCAAACTGTGTCTTAAACCCTCTGTCATATGTTAAATGAGAGAAATAATGTCCACCCTACTGGGGGATGGGAGAAAGCAGAAATGCTGTACCTGGAAGCACTTCTCCAACCATAATCTGATTATAAATAAGAGGTGCTCTACTGGAGCATTTCTCCAACCATAATCTGAATATAAATAAGAGGTGCTATACTTCCTGAAGGAAGTCCTACTCTAAACTATTTCCTCAACGTCTGACTCTTTTCCATCCCTCTCCAGCAGGAAACCGTGCTCTCCGGACTGAGAAGGATCAGGGGCCTCAGTCTTGCCCTGTCCTGGGTTGTTGATATTTCCCACATCTACTCATAGGAGTAGGCTCTGCTCACTCTGTGCCTGCAGGGAGTGGTTCAGGATGTCGAGGTGGAGACTCATTTGTGGCTGGCTCCTTGGTGCTGTCTACTTGGGAGAGAGAGAGAGAGTGAGTGAATGTATCATTATGGGCTACCTGTACAAAGGGATATGGATTTTCCAGGCCAGGGGCCTTAGAATAAAAAGAGGGACAGATAGTTGAGTCAGACTGGCTTCCAAGAACTAAAAGGCTGTGTCAGTGAAGAGGGCTGATGAGGAAGTGGATTCCCCGTCATGGAAGGCAGTCAGAATTCAAAAGCTGCATGATACCATGGTCTGAGTGGTTGTTTCAGAGCACATTCAAGCATTTAGTGGAAAACCAAAAAACTCCTTGCCGTCCAGTCGGATCCGACTCATAGTGACCCCTCCTTGGGTTTCCGAGGTGGTATCACTACAGAAATAGATTGCCCAACCTTCCTTCTGAGGAGTGGCTGGTGGGTTTGAACAGCTTGCCTTCTGGTTACTGGTAAAATGCCTTATACACTATGCTACCAGAGCTCCCATTAAGCAGAAATAGGTGATGATTAGGAGCCCTGGTGGTGCAATGGCTAATGGCTTGGCTGCTAACTGAAAGGTCAGCAGTTTGAACCATAGGAACATTTTCTCCACAGGAGAAAGATGACACAGTCTGGTTCTGTAAAGATTTACAGCCTTGGAAATCTTTTGAGGAAGTTCTTCTCTGTCCTATACGGTATTTATGACTTGAATTGACTTGACAGCGATGAGTTTGCTTTTGGAGTTTTAAGTGATGGTTGAAGTCTCTTTTAACACTCACTGCCATTGAGTCAATTCCAACTCATAGCAACCCCCACTGGGTTTCTAAGGCTGTAAATCTTTTCTTTTTTTGGTCAATGTCTTACCCTTGTCAGTGTGTGCTGTCCACCCAGACTAAGTTATCCCTAACAACAAGAACAACAACAACAACAATAATAATAGCTAGCACTACAGATAATGCATCTGACACTGTTCCAAGTAGTTTTTTTTAATACATTTTACTGAAATGTAATTTATGTACAGTGAAATACACAAAACTAAAGTGACATGGGTCAATGCATTTTTTTTTTTTTTTTGCAGTGTTCCCTCCCCTCCCCTTTCACTCCTGGCAACCAACAAAGAAAGTTTCCCTCGGTATATAAATTGTCAAGGGTTCCTTGACCCTCCACAACAATGAACTAATACTATACTTGTCTTCTGTGATTCACTTATTTCACTCACTAAGGCTGTAAATCTTAATGGAAGCAAACTACCTTATCTTTCTTCCACGGAGCAGCTGGTGGGTTTAAACCACTGACATTTTGGTTTGTAGCCAAATACCTTAACCACTACACCACCAGAACTCTTTCTTTTAACACTAAGATTCCAAATTATCACATAATCATGTGATAGTCCTTTGGTATTTGAATGAACACAAAAGTAAACCTTATCACACATTCTAGAGACTTTTTATATTTTCAACTTCTTTCGGAGGTGGTATCTCTATGGAAGTAGATTGCCCAATCTTCCTTCTTAGGGGTGGCTGGTGGGTTTGAATGCCAGCCTTCTGGTTAGCAGTCAAGTGCCTTAGGGACTATGCTACCAGAGCTCCCTCCCTGTTGTTTATTACCCATGTAATTTTCCTGTGGTTCTGTATCATGAATAATTTCATTTTAATCCTCATAGTACTTACATGAGACTTTGAAGCAAAGAGGTCTGTGCAAGGTCATGGAGTGAGGCTTTGAGCAGGAGTTCCAGGCTTTGGGTTTGCTGTATATTAGCCTAGTACTGGGAGAAAGGAGGGAACCTGGAAGCTTGAAGCAATCAAAGGGGAGGCTGCTTGACCTTTCAAAAAACAGAATGGCAATGAGAAAAGGGAACCAATGGGCTAATCTTGTAGATCACTCCAAGACCACAAAGTGACCTCAGAATGAAAAAGAGTGCCCTTGTGGCTTCCTGCAGTGAACTAACTTTGAGTTCACCTAGCCACCACCTCTATTTCTGCCATAAAGATAAGTCTTTTGCCTCCTCAGACCCCATCAGAAACTACTTCCTTCCACAGCCTGGTAACTGTAGTTCAGGACCCTCTGGGACATCTGCCTAATAGGAGGGTGGTGGGAGGCAGGTAACAGTGCTGGGGAAAGCCAGAAGACACTCAGAGAAATTAATACATCTGCTCTCTAGGCCTTAAGGTAAGTACCTCCCATACTCTAGTCGGCATCAGAATCACCTGGGATGCTTGTTAAGAACAGACGCTGATTTAGTAGCTTTAGTGGTTTAGTAGATCTGGTCTGGAGAGCCAGCATCTTTTAGCAAGCACTCAAGTAATTCTGATCCTATGCTTTAAAATA